ACCAAGGCCTGCTCCTTCCATTTGGGTTTCTGGAAGATAAAGGAAGTGTTCTTTTTATAAACCCAGTTCTTAAAAAAATAATAAAAATAAAATGATAATATGTTAGAATTCTAACTGTCCTGGAAAAGCCAAAAGTGTTTTCTTGTAAGAAACGTTGGAGAAGGCAATTAATTGTTTGAACGCAGGACTGGCAGCTTGTTTTGTCACAGCTGAAACTTCCCTTTAGGGTTATTGATGTGATACGGTGGCTCTGCAAAATTCTCAGCAGCTTTATTAAGCAGTAAGAAGTCTAAGCACTTCAGAGAGTCTCATTCCAAATTAAATTCAAACTGATCCCTGAAATACTCTGTTATTCCTTTAAACACATATCATCCCTCAAAGCTCTTCTGGTAATGTCATCATGGGAAGAATAATGCATCATCTTACCTGCAGTAGTTATGCTTGCCCAGTCCAAGCTGCAGAGCGTTCTTCAAATCAACATGGTAATCACCCCTCCTGATGACTGAAGGAAGGTCCCAATACAGACAACCTGGGTCTGCTGCCATTCCTCTGTAGCTCTCCCCATTCCCACTGTAGCATATGCTGTCAGTGTCTGAGAAAACAAACATTTGTAAGCAGCATGTTCTGTTTATAATTGTTCTGAGACAGAAGTAATCTGTATGGGTCATTTTAGTGATAAAGTGTGCATTTCACAAGAAAAAAGATGATACAAAATCTGGATTGATTATATATTCTTACTTTATACATGAAATAACTTATGCTTAGCAATTTCAATGTACTTCACAATGGATACTAACAAGTTCATTTTACAAGCTACAACATTATTGAGGGATGGAAGAACACTTCTGAGGAGGGAGGGACAAGAAAATTACAGATCCCAATTTTGCTCCAATATTTGGCTATTTCTCCTTACCTTAATTATTATTAAAAAAAACTGCTGGAGGATATTAAGTTGTGTTTATAGGTAGCACTTTCACATGAGAATCCTTACTCATGATTTTCTTAATTTTCCAATTCATTTAGTTAGTATTAAGGAAGGTGGATACCCTACCTATTTCACAGTGAAGTCCACCATATCCTTCTGGGCACAGGCAGCGCTTCATTTGGCTGAAGAACTGATAGGTAATGCAAGTTCCACCATTCAGACAGTGGCATTCTGCAAATGAAAGATACCAGTAGTAAGAGGCAAAACACTTGAGTGGTTGAGTGAAATGCAGTTGCAAACTAAGTTTCAGCTGCATATAATTGAAAGCCTTCTCTCTTAGATAAAGATGTAATTGCAGGCTAACAAGCTCTTTTTAGGTTCAAGTAGAACAGAGGTACTTACCTCTATGTTGGGGTCTCTGTTTATGTGGTAACTTGTAGTACTGCCTCATGTAAACCTAAGCAGACAAAAAGGAAAGAAATTATTGAAGGACGCAGTTCCTTTGACACGTTTCTATTACGCAGTACAGGACTGTGCTGTTTTCTACTGCATGCCTTCTCTAACAATTTAAAGTTCTTGTGTGTAGTTACTAGCTGAATTTGCTCTACTGAGTCTACATATGATCATATATGATTTACGTATGATTGAAGTGGAACTCTGAGCAAAGCAGATGAACACATCACACTAGAAAACCCTCTGAAGAACTCTACCAATCTGCTCCCACTGCACCTGGTCAACATTGCAGTTATTTCTTCTGTGAGGATCTGGTCAGTTCCCAGAGGTGAAAAGATAAATTCTCCCTCCACACCTCTCAGGTACTGAGCAGTGCAGCAAAGGTGGAATGTGCTCCAGCTGCCTGTCACTGGTGACCTTGGTGCTTCATGCTTGTGCATGATAGTCAAAATATTCAAAATCAGGTCTGTGTCTCCTTTTTCAGCTTTGTATTCAAGCAGGTCAAGACAAATTTATTTGAAGGCCCAATTTTCTCCTACATAAAACACCACTGAGTTCTTGGTACTTTGTGTCCAGGTCCAAGCTGTTTTATAGAAAGATAAATGCTGGATTTCTTGGTAACTGCATGATGTCCTCACTATTTTAACCCTAGAAGACATCTCAATGTGGAACAGAATCAGAGGAAAAAACAAAGTGTTCAAATATGAATTTTCTGGAGATATATGTGCAGCAGATGTAAATGCAAAGGCAGCAGAAAGAGCAGTTCAAGTCAGAAATCCAGCACCGTGTCCAAAGCAGAAGTATAATTAAAAAAAAAAAAAAAAAAAAGGAAGTGGATCCAAGTAAAAACCCCCTCACTTATTTCAAAACTTACAGAGTCTAGTCCTGTGACAAGCGTGCCGAGAGTTATTGTGAAGAGGATGAGTAACTTCATGTTGATAGTTAAGTTCTCACTTTGTTCCTCACCTTAGTTTTCTTTCGATTCTGAAAATAAAAGAGGAATTCAGTGACATGTTGTATCTTGCAGCATCAGCTTTCTTGTGGCTGTTGTCTTACCTGGTTTGAGTAACAATACAGTGAGCAGAAGAATTGAGAACTGACTTAACTGTGGAATGTCTGCATATTATTTCCATAAATTAGCTTAGATTTGCTATGATTAGATTAGCTATGATTTTATCATTTGAAGCCTTTTTATGCATTTAGAAACACAGATTTTTGCAGAGTTCACATGAAGCAGAGATAGGGAAGCTGGAGAAATCCAGACTCTGGGTTGTGGACTACTCTGCAATGTGGACTAGCAGTCAGAAAGCGGCAGATCTATTTAGCTGCAGTCCAGCTCTTTGTGCTCATTTAACTGATTATTACTGCCTTGCAGCAAGACTTCTAAACAGTCTGAACATGCACACTGAAGCGTGGGAAGGAACACTCAGCTTTCAGTGCCTCCCGAGCTGCCGGCTGGCTCTTGCTGCTGCTGAGAGCTTGCATAAGCCCAGGCACCTCAGGAGCGCTGCAAAGTCCTGAAAGTCTGGTCCTGCGGTTGCTGCATGCATGGTATTAGAGAGGCTTAAACCTCTTCTGTCCTGATATTGTGTGTGCAGCTGCCTGCTGCAGCCAAGCACACAAAGGGATCAGCCCAAGAGTGAGTGTTACAAATCAGTCTGCAAAAGGATAGGGGGTTGCTTGAAAAAACAGCAAATATAAAATTTGCAGTACAAGTCATGGGAATGAATACCGGATTATTATTATTATTGAAAGAGAAAAGCACCTTCAGTTCTAAAATAAAAAAACAAAAAAAAGAGAAAAGTTAAAAGAAGCCATAGGACCTTGGTTTGTGTGACTCTAGTGAGCAATGCAGAGCAGGTGCTGAAGTGCTGCTCTGTGCTTTCAGAGGTTCTGACATCAGACCAATTTTAGATTGGTCTTACAAACTGAATGCCCACAGACAGTGGGACTGCATCTCCTAGGTTTAACGACAAAGAGATTTGGTGACTAGACTGTAAGACCATAATGTGGTGCTGGTCCAACTACGCGAGAGGAACAGGGGGTTTTTATTTCAAGAAAACGCAGACATGGCCCAAAGCAAACTACTGATGCAGCGCAGCCCTTGCTCAGAGGCAGGCTTCATAATGCAGGGAAGCAGCCTGTGCCCTGTGCTCAGACATGCTTCTCAGGTGCAGCTGGGACTGCAGCAGATGTGCGTTCTCTTGAGCGTTTTTAACTCAATTCAACAGCAATTTTTAACTCCTCTGGCAGGTACGGGACTGATTTGCTATCCATTACCGTGATTAAATCCTCAGGCCCACCCCCCAGCATCCAGCAGCAGCACTGACGATTTCTGTTCCGATCCCGCTGCCAGAGGGCAGCGCGCAGAGCAGAGCTCTCCCGTTACCGACGCGACACGCAATCTGTACTTTGGCGTCGCTGATTTCAAGAGCGATCGCTAAAGCCTGCCGCAACGCTGTCCGCGGACGCAGCACTTACCGACCGGAGCGGCTGAGCCAGGCACGGTGCAGCTGCAGCAGCGGTGCGGAACGGGCGCTATAAAGGCCCGGCCGGGGCGGTTCCTCAGTCGCCGCCCGCCCGCCCCGAGGCGTTCCGCAGCGCCGCCCCCGGGCAGGGCCGCCCCCCGGGGCTGCGGGCGCCTCGCCGTTGCCTCTGCGGGGCCGGCGGTGTGACTCGGGGAATTGGGGGCCGCTGCTGGTTTCGGGGCGGGGGAGCGCGAGCAGCCTGAAGGGGGTGCGGGGCTCCTCCTCGCCTCCGTGGGGCGGCAGGCGATGCGCGATTAAGCGTGGTGAAACAAAAGAGAAACGTGAGAGGCAGCCATGAAAAGAACGGCTTGTGTTGAAGCGTGCTTAGAGGCGCGAACAAGCATGGCGTACTTAAATTTCAGATTTGTGGCGCCGTCCGTGAAGAATGAAGCCCAAATGCCTTCGTGGTTACGAGGATTAGCTCTGCTCAGGTGTGGGTGAGGGCAGAACACACCTGTGCGGAAGCCTGAGGGGTTCCTCCGGCCCGTCTCCGTTGCTCGGTGGGGGCGAGCTGCAGCGCCAATAGCCTGAGGCCCTGCGCTTCCCTAAGAGGTGTCGTGCCTTTGCCGTGTAGTTTCTGCTTTCCAAAGAGTTATTTAAAATGCGGCCATGTCACGAATGGGGATGGCGACATCCTGTCTCATACTTCAGGCCCTGGAAAACAGACAGCCTCCTCTACTCCCAGTCAAGTGTGATTTCCCACACTGGGCTGTGACACTGCAGCAGTGCAGTGAATAACAAAACCCACGCGTGGCATTTGGAGGCATAGTGGTGGTGTTCAGCCTCAGGTACTGGGGTGACTAAGCTGAGGCAGGTCTCCTGCTGCCAGGTAGCTGATGAAAGGCAGTTTCTTCAGGTGCTGCTTCAGAGCAGGGGATGACATGAATTTCCTTTGGGAGGAATACTTTTCATAATTGGGCTATCCGGAGCTTAAGGAGACCAGCCTTCTGTGTTTGACATCTAACTTCATTGGTAAGAAAATGGCTGAGTTTTCTTCTTCCTTCTGCATCTTCTGTGTTGAGTCTTTGTTGTAGAGCCACCCTTACTGAGGAATTGTATGTTTATCTGTTCTATTCCTTTTTGTTGTGTTTCAGCTCCTCAGGCTTGTGTTGGAACAGACTTCTCCACAGAGAGTGTGTTGAATTCATGTTCTCTGGATAACAGAAATTGAGTCTAGAGAAATGGATCAAATGGAAGTCCAGAAATGGGCATAGGTAAGGAAGAAATCTTCCTGCATTTCAGGAGACTGAATTTTCTTATCTCTCTGCGACATCTGAATATTAAAAGCAAATGGATCCTGTAAGAAATAGGAGGGATAACATTAAGGTAGGATCCCTACTGCTCTTTCTTCAATCTAGAGGACTGTCTGTGATGTAAACTTATTCTAGGGATTAAATTCAGTGAAAAATAATCCAGATTTTAAAAGCAGTCTGGAACTTTTATTCTTTGAATGAATTTTAACACACTATTTTTACAAAGTAAGTAAAGAATGGGTCATAGTTTGATCGGGCAGAGGGAGAGGGGAAGGAAGAAGCTTCCAGGAAGAGAAGGGGCTCCTCTGGGTCTGGACAGCTCCTCTCCTTCCTCCTCCACCCCTTCCAGGGAAGAGGTGCCAGGCCTTGGCAGTTTCCTCAAACCTTCTGGAAAAAGAGTCAATGCTCGAGCATCAGGATTTCCTCTTTCACTCTTGTTCCCTGAGGAGTATTTCAGAAGTGAGTAACGACCCTCTCCCTGAGCTCCTGACCAAGCAATGTACATGTCACCTGTTCCTCTTCATTCATTCTTGTTTCAGAGGCTGACGTGCCAAAAAAGCTTGTGTTTTCACTCTGGCACAAGATTTGACAAAAGCCAGAATTCCCTTTTTCTACTGTTTGGCACCTAGGTTTTACTGAAATTCTGTGTTACTTTATCCTTAATGACAAGTGGCCTGGTCTGTGGTGTCACTTTGTTTCAATCACATGGATAAGATACAGATTGCAAATGGTCTGCCAGGTTTGTATTACCTCTTTGGTGTTGATTCCTTTGCCTTGAATATTTGCACCTAGGGAGGTGAATAAATGATAACTAAGCCATTGTGAAGTAAAAATACTGTTCAGGAGAGTGAGATCCAAGAAAGCTGTAGGTGAGTTTGCTTTGGTAGTGGAGGCAACCTCAGAGCAAATAAGACCACATGATCTCCATAAGAACTGAATGATTGTTAGGGAAGCAGAAATGGCTGAGATAATTTGCAGTGCTTGACTTCACGGAGCTAACTGGTTGGTGGCTGCTACAATAAGATCTGAGGTGAGGCTGCAACTGAAATAAACTCTTGGGCTTGTAAATGTCTTGCCTTCTGGCAGAGGCCTTGGAAAAGCTGTAGTTTGGCAGTTCTGGCAAGACCTCATGTCAAGATCTTATAGCTAGACCTGCCTGCACAGATGTGAAATACTCCTGCCCAATGAGTAGGACAGGTGAAAAAGGACTAGTTCTGCTACATAGAGATTTTTTGATAGCTTCAGGGGCAGGATTTTTTCATTATTGCACCTCTCAAGAGGTTGGAAGAACCCTGTTGAAAGTCTTTTACTTACTTTGCCAGCAACTTCTACCTTCTACTGTTAAATTCTTTCTCCTTTGTCATGTCTATGGTTTCAACACTTCTATTATGCGAATTTAGGAGAGGTCTGGGCAAGACGGTAGGGGAAGGAATCAAGAGAAAACAAAGGTGCTGCAAAGTGTGGCAGGACTGATCTTGCAGAGGGCAATTTACCCTCCTGCATAGGAATGTAGCATCTGATAAAAAAAAAAAATACTGTTCACAAAATTTGAAGTTGTTCTCTCATTTCCATGTTTAGAACTGCTAATAACATATTTTTTTCTTTTGTCTGTACATGGATTACAGCACTTAGTAAAGAAAATATATATGAATGGTGATTATTAGCTGCTCATTTGATTCAAGTGTAAACCCCTTGGGATCGTATAATACCTCTTTCAAATAGAGTTCAAATGCAGTGGATCCAACCCTAAAGAGCTAGTATGATTAGGAGCACAGTCAGACAATTCTTGCTTTCCTGCAACCCAGTTACTGATAAAAATCTTGCTGATTCTTTTAATTTATAGTTGAAATAACTTGAATGTTTCAGATTAGTCTGCCAGCCTGACCTAGCAAATATTGAAAAGATAACATTTCATTCCAACTAGATGAGGACACTGACCCTTCTAATGAAATACAGATTTTCTTATCTTATGGTGGTGAGCTGAAAGAGATTACGAGGTTTGTGCTGTGTTGTGGCTGTCACTGGGCTAGAGGTGTTATTAGTTCCAGTATTCTTTTTCATAGCTGGTGATAAAATATTAAAACTAGGGCAAAATACCATCCACCATGCACTTTCTGGTAATCCATCAGCAAACTACACAAGGACAGAATTCATAGAGTTGAAATAATCTTACCACTCATTGTGGTACCCTGATGCTCCACACTGATACTCTCAGACATAGACTCTCTTTGACCTCATTGGAATTTTCATGTGTTTTAGAATTAGAGCCAATACTTGGACATCTGCCCTAATTCCAAACACTTGGCACTGGGAGCAGGAACGTTCTCTGAGCTTCTGCTAAAGGTAATGGGACTCAGTGCAGGGGAAGCAGTCCCCCGTTCAAGGTGCTTTGAGCATCGGGACTCTGTGACCTTCTGTCACCTTCAGTCTGTTACTTGTGAGGAGTACGTTCTGGTTTGTATCACATATAAGTAACAGTTAGTCCTTTGCCTAGTGATTTTCTGTCCTGACAACACAGCTTCTAAGTTTTCACACGAGCAGTTATATGTGCCTGAACCTCTGTCACCTCACAAAAAAGATCAGAGGTAAACTTCACATTCAGTAATCGTGTCTAATTACACATAAGCCAATACAGCACCTAAATCCTCTGGACGTGATTTGTCTTGTCTGTAACGGTCATGGGTTTCTTGAAAGTAGGTCACCTGCCTCCTGCTATGTGTATGGGGATATAAAGAACACAGCTATCTTGACATCTGCTCTGTGTGTTGGAATGGTGCTTCAGATTTAAACAGTATTGGGTTACAGTAAATGTTTGGATTATGGCAGAAAGAATTGCAAAGCAGTGGTGAAATGTTTTATGAGCTTTAAGGGATATTTTCTCACATCAAGCTGTTTTCAATATTCTAGCTTCGGCTTCCAAACACTGGGCACTTTTCCAACAAAATATTTTATTGGCCAAGTTCATTTTTACAGCCATTTTACTACTAACTCTTGAGATAATAATAGATTTGATTGAATAAGCCAATAGATTTCAGATGTTACACTATCAGTATAATGTAAAGAAATAATAGTAGTTTAAAAAAAAAAAAAAGATGAAATACAAAAAACAAGAATGAGTTCTTTCTTTAATCTTATTGTCTTAAATTAGAGCTTGTATGAGACCCAGGAATTTCCAGATTAGCTGATTTTAAAGTGGAATGTGATTCATAAAAATTCTTGTACTTTAATGACTCTTCATTACTTGTCAGTTGTTTGTGGTTGGAAGCAAATGGTGATCTCATTTCCTTTAGGTATAATTCAGCTACTCAGGTTTCTTTGTTTATTTAAAATTTTGTTCCTTTTCCTTGCTGCCTGCTGTGTTTCTTTTATCTTTGTTATCTGTGTGGGTAGAAGTAGCAGTGCTTATCAGCTGAAGGGCACCGGGCTCTGCGGATGCGTGTATTCCAGCTTGCTCTGCTTGCAGCAGGAGTAGCCGGCCTTATCTCCACACTGAGCCAGCGTAATCAAAACTCAGAAAGTTACTTCAGTCACAAGCACCAGCCGCTGTTAGCTCAGCTATTTTGTTACACTAGGAGAGAATGCGGTTGAGGCTTTAAAGCAATAAAGCCTTTCTCAAGCATAGTTTCGTTGGATACTGCAGCTGCACTTTCCGAAGGGTCTGACTGTGCTACAATTTGACTGCTAAGTAACAAACAGAGATGGAGCACCTGTGAAATCCCCTGTCATTGAATCCTCTCTCACGTGGGAGGAATAGAAAGCAACTGTTTGATGAATAGCCTTTGCTGTACGCAGTGTTCTGCCATTTCAGTGAGCTGTGCCATACTGTTGTGTGTTTTTTTTTTGAACAGGAGCGCTCCTGTCTGATGATTTCTTCACCAGTTTGAAGTGCACCTGTTTTTAAACTAGGTTTAGTGTAGATTGCATCTCACTCAGCAGTAGTAAACATCCATAGATAGCAGAAATTGCCGAACTCTGAGGTTTGTTAGAATTGCTAAGTTGAGGTAGCTGATATCTAAAGAAAAAAATTGTCTGAACTGCTGACGTTTGATCCAGATCATAATAGCTTAAGATTGTTTGCATTTGAGTCCAGGCCAGCCTTTAGTTGCAAATTAGCTGGAAGCTGTGGAGAAGACCCAGAAGGGAAACTTTTGAGTCTGAACTTAGAAGGCGGAAAGCAAATGCAGAGTATTTTAGGGATTAAACTGTGCTTTCTGTGGTCATTTTAAGTTCAGAAAAAGGATATACTTATTTAAAGGAACACTACTTCTGCCTCCCATATACTGATTTAAAATGACACATAAAAATCTAACACTGGAAATTACAGAAACAGCTGGCTTGGACTACTATTTATGACATGCATCAATCAATCAGATTCATATTCCAGAGAAAAACCAACACGCTGAGAATAAGCTGGTTGGCAGGATTCTGGAGAAAGCTTGCTAAAAACTGGCAAGAAAGCAAATTTTGTGTAACACAGCCCAGGTGAGAAACCTGGTGCTGCTCATTTCAGCAAGCTAGTCTGAGAAACTCATCTGGGATTATACTCCTTCCTTTTCTGTCTTAGGCATTCCTGCTAATGAAGGAAATTAAATACCTACTATAGACATGTTCCTATCTACTGGGAAGGAAGCTGTGATGTTACAAGCTGCTCTGTCAAGCAGCACTAAAGCCTTAACAGGTGACACAGATAAGAGACAATTGTTCCTGTTCTCAGTAGGGTATAACACTGCCTACCATTATCAGTTTGGCCTCCTGGGGGGGGGGGGGGGAATGCATATTACATAGGTCCCACTCTTCTTTGGCAGATTCCAGGGGTGCAGGATCAGCTGCTGCAAGACCTGAATGCCCAGAGCTTGGCAGCGGGGCTGGGTGTATCTGCTCCTGCTCACTTGAGATGGAAAGCACAGGCAGCCATGACAGATAATTGTACTACAATATTTAAAGCAGGATGATTTTGATTG